CCGACCTTAAGTTTTTGAATCGCGTTTTTCGGCAAGAAAGATTTAACCAATTTCTATGATTTTTTGGAATCTTGATAAAGAATGGTGCAACTTTAAGAAAATGTCACTTGTTTTCTTGCATATGTTCAAAACCGCAATTTTACAAAAAATGTCAATAACTTCGAAACCCTACGACAGATTTTTCTCCAACTTCAGTGAAATAAGCCTCTGAGCTCTCTATAGTTTTATATCTGCAAGTTTGAAGTCAATCGTGACCGTAGAACTCGCTGCACAAAATGCTGGTCAAATTTAACTTTAAAATGCAACGCTAAAACATTTGTGAAAGTTGACGCACAAATAGAGGAAGAGTGCGGACGGACTATCTCCTATCTACAAGGGTATTCTTGTCCAAAACTTTATATTAGTTTCAAGAAACTGAGTAATCAGAAACATTCGGCGAATACATTTCGCAATATAAGAAGAACAACTTTATGCTGAATGCGGGGCAAGATTGAAGAACTTCTATTTATCAAAGTTACTGTGTTTTTGCCCCTCTCTTTTCGAAAAAAAAATTCAGCAAAGCAAGATATAGCATCTACAGAAATCGCCTACCAGTTTTTAGCACCGAAGGTTCCTGTCTTGAGGAGAAATAAAGCCACCAACCCCAGTACTTCAACCGATCCATTTTCAGCTGCAACAAAAACCTTTGTACTCGGTAATTTATTCAAACTTGTTAGATCTGCTATCACATTCGCACGGGCAGTTTGCATTGGGGGTAATGAGAAGAATACACGGCGATTGTCATATTTTCCTTCATCTTTATCCCCAAGTGGCAAAGTTCCCGTGCGAATGTGATGAAGCAAAAGCATGAATAAATTACCAAGTACAAGGGCTTTTAGATTAGTGCAGCTGAAAAATGGATGTTTAATATACTGGAGTTGATGGCTATATTTCTCCTCAAAACTGAAACCTGCGACGCTAAAAACTGTTGAGAGTTTTCGTAGATGCTATATTTTGCTTTGTCAAGATCTGTTTCGAAAAGAGATGGACAAATACAAAGCAAGCTTAATGAATGGAAATTCTTTAATCTTGCGCCGCATTCAGCATGAAGTTGTTCCTCTTGTATTGCAAACTGTATTCGTTTGTTAATGAGATGCAACTTTGTGGATAGCACGAAAACAAGGATTACCACATTTACGGATTCTATGTATCTATACTGCTTTAACAGTCGTCAACTTTTTTTTTTCATGAGACGAGTGACTCTTCGTCAATTTTTTTTCTTTTAGATATTCTCAAAATACGTTATGGGCAACTTTTGTAGCTTTTTTGGTATTTTCACTGTTCTTTTGATTGAGTAAACATGCAAAATCGCTCTCTGAAAGGTCAGCGAAGGGATCTGCCATTTTCACGCAAGAGCGATCGGAAGAAGGAGAAAAACGTGTTTTCATTTACGCATGAGCAGAATATTATTTGCAGCCAAACACATTGCGCATTGGCAGACCGTTATCTGTAGGCAGTTGATTGCAGGTCACGTGATGGGCTTTGGACCAACAAAAAGGGAGAAAAATTTGCAACGAATGATAATTATACGTTATTCTACAAGCAGTAGCCGTTGGCTAGGAAGTGTGGTCGAAACCGCTTTCATATGTAGGTGAATTCCATTTAGTGTCAACAAAAGGAATCACTGCGTACAGGAGCCCATACTGCGTATGAAAACTGGAGTGAACAACACGGTAAACAAATAAGACTCATAATTAATTCGACGATTTTATTATTTTGCTTAGATACAATTAGCCTGCGCATGGTAAGGAGCGGGGAAAGACGTTTGAATTCGCCGGCAAAGATACATTGAGACAGTAATGCGTACGAAGTCTTTTTTTTTTTTCAATCAATCGGTGTTCAATGACCAAAGGGCCTTGATATGCAATACAAAAATTACCACTGGAGTTTAAAGCTTACTGAAGCTTTCGGATGACAATCGACGTAACATGCTTGGAAACTTTTAGAAATATAAAAACCACGCACTGTAGTGAAACCTGAATAAACTTAATTTACATCTATTTCTAGACTTGCTAGCACTCGTATCTTACCAACTGTCCCGCACTAAGCTGAGATCAGGCTCTACTTTCATTTTCCTGGGTACATAGATTCCAGGCCGGCAAGGCGAATCGAAAAGTCTCTCATTTAGTATAGTACTTGCGTAGCTGAATTACGTGTGCTTGCGAATCGACCGTGATAATGTTGTTGCATCACTTGTATGTGCATTCACGTCATTACTGTGACATCAGACGGACCTTAAACTCAACACCAGGGCCTTCGCGGCCACATACCCTACATATTAGTCGGTACAACACGGGCATCCCACCGATGTGGACAGAGTAGGGAAAAATCTCGCTATACAGTTAAAAGAGTGCCGCTGACTAAGAAGAGGCTGCGCGGTCCTTTTGTCGCCCGTAAAAAGAAATCGAGCGCGCCATTTTGACGAAGGGTGGGGATTTTTCGACGTTATCAAAAACTTTCTTTATTCTTCAGCTATAGGTGTACGATACAGAATAACTGTTCCTTAAAAAACTAACAACCAAAAATGCTGCGATTTTGTCAGAATATAAAGCCGGAATCTGTAGCAATAATGACTTAAAAACACCCAAGCACATTACACGGAAGATACTTTTTTGACGCTATATGTCAGAGGTGTAACAGACCGGCAAACCAGAACTCTGACCCATAGTTCGTGTAAAAATCTAAATCCAGCTTATTAAAGTAGCACTCTAAGAAAAGATTCTGCAAAATATTCAGATGGAAATATCTTTATTCAACTGTTAACTTTAATGTACAAATAATTTAGTCCAGGCTTTTCAGAGTATTAATAGCAGTCCTTCTAAAAGGAAACATTAGCAAATAATTTTCGAAATGTTAGAATTGCGATGATCGAGCTTTACATCGACAATTTTTTAAGGTCAATTTAAAATAATCATAATTTGCGTCACTATTTGCTAAACTCTAATCAATCATTGGACGAAAAGCCAAGCCTCCCCCTCCTCCTCAAGGTTGAGAGCTAGTTGGGATGTTTCGCTGGACTGGGTATGGTTTTTTATCTCACTGTCCTAAACAGGGTGGTGTATATAACTTCGTGTGAGTCAACAGGATATTGCCTGCACGAATGATTTGATTTGCAAAATGTTGTTTGTACTCCAAGTATACAAAAGAGATGACTATAAAGTGAATTTGCTCTATTGCAATTGCCAATAAATGGCTTGAAAACACGACGGCGTGCAGTTGGTCCTTTCTCCTAAACAGTGCAATGAAATTGAGGGTGTTGTCCTAAACAGAGTATGTATTTTGGGTTAACTGCAAACAGATCATATGGGTTGACTAACTGATCTTCGCTCGAAGAAATCGGCCAATGAAAGTTATTCCCAATCCCCTGGTTAAGTGCTCGGTTATTACCTTTAATCAAAGATTCTATCTCTTTTTTGACCTCTGCCATCTGTGAGCACTGTATCACCTTGAAGAAGTGCGATTTTTACTTGGCAGTTTGCGGGTTAAAGTATTCATTGGCTTTAGTAAATAAAATTAAAAGCGAAAAAAAAATAAGAAAAATTAATTTGTCCGCACAGTCTGCCTGGCCTGCAGTCTGCAAGGTCCGCGTTTTAACATGATCATTTTCGTCACTAAAGTTCTGGCACAAAACCTCCGAGCACAGGGATGGAACAAAAAACGTAGAGCTTTGGATAGCTTGTTACACTCCCACTCCAAAAAGAAACTGATTTTAAAATTAAAGAATGCAACTGTAAATAGGGAATTACGTAATATGTATACTTAAATAAATCTCTGCAAACTATACAGATTTAAATGCTTAACAAGATAAACAAAGAAGAAACTTACTGCAAATGCTACAAAGCTCACGCAGAAATCATAAATAGTCAGAACGGTATGGTACGAACTTTTGTGACTCCCGTCCGAGCGGCTGCGAAGGAGACTGAGTACTCAAATGTGCTTGTATTGGTATATCTAGCCGATTTTTTGAAAACCAACATAACGAAATTAGTAGTCATTTAAGCGAAAAGACGCCAAAAGGTAGGTTTCTTAAACCCGAAGAGCTCCAAAATCACAGTAACGAAGAAAAAGGAAGAAAGAAAAAGAAAGAGCTAGGAGAAGGAAAGGAGGAGAAGAGAAAAAAGCAATGGTTGCACTCTTAGTTTTCATAACAGCTACTTTGGCCGAAAAAAAACTGTTAGACGCAAAAGGTCCATTTGGTGATAACGTTATCAAAAATCCGGCTAGATATATATGCAATAAATTATCTTCGAAATAGTAAACGTGCTTCACCCGTTACGTTCTCGATAGAGGTTATCTGTGGTTGATTGTCTAAAGCGATCGTAAAGTTAAAGCTATTTTAGGCGGTCACTTACTTGAGGTTCGACGGTATTCTTTTAGGCCTACTTTTTGGGACCTGGGACACACTAGGTGACAAGTTGCAGCAACAAGTCGCGGCGACAGATCACTCCGTGTGTGCAGGTCCGACGACTAGTTGCAGCCAGATGTTGGGACGACACGTCGCAACGACAAATCGCTTTGTGTGTGATGGAGAAAGTTTTGTGAAAATCTTGTCTCAGTCTGCAACAGAATTTTGTCCTCGCAACAGGTCGCTCAAATTCTGTCTGATTTGATTGAACATGTCGCTTCGACAAAGTTCTGTTGCAGAGACAAAGATTTTCACAACAATTCTCCAGTAAGCAAGAAGCGATTTGCGCTGCGACGTGTGTTGCTGCAACTTTTCTCCTAGTGTGTACCAACCTTAAAAAAGGACTTACAAGATCACCGCAACTTATAGTGACTTAAGGCAACTTTTGGCAACGTTGGGCGACTTAGGCCTTTTTTTACTGGTTAAATCTATGTTGCCTTATATACTATCCTATTTTTAAACTGGCAAATTTAGTCAATTCTATTGTATGCCGTTCCATGAGTTACTTATCACAGATATTTCCTCTTCAGTTATTGTAGTCGTTATGGCAACGTTCTTAACCTTGGCAGTCACTACTTGTCACGTGATCCTCTTTATCGTTGACGCTGCGCAAGGTACTGTTGTCTTTGTTAAGGTTGCCATTCATCAACAACGCTGGATCCAGACCCTCTTTAATGGAAGAACTCAGTTCCGGGATTCGATCAAGTGGTATGAAGAAGTTGGACAGGTTAAACAAATCCACAAACACCTTGTAGCGATCACTAGGGATATCCAGGAGTTAATTACAACGTGTTATGCTCATTTAATGAGACAATCGGATGTTTTAAGACTATAAAAAAGTGAATTTAATGGCTGACTCTTACTAAAGAGGCCAATCGGTTGAAGTCACTCAGTTATGAACTATTGAACAAAGCGCTTCTTTCAGTATAAGGATGGCATGCTTGTCTATATTTTCTAATATGGTAGTTATATAAAAGAGGCACCTTTTCGGTTAGCCTGTGAACAGGCTCCCAAGTGGAGCCTGTGTACAGACCCCCCCCTCTCCTCAGTAAAAATCGGAGAAGGGGGAGGGGTGGTCTGTACACAGGCTACCCAAGTGGAGCGGGGCGACAAAAAAAATCGCCGTGGCCTGGGGGACAAAAAAAGCTCCAGGCCTAGCTTCGCTCGCCAATTTTCTTTTCGCCCCGCTTCACTTGGGAGCCTGTTCGCAGGATAAATTTTGATCAAAAGTAAGTCAAAGACATTTACTTCAAACGCACCTTCCATAAAGAAATGCAACTCCATCAGATGCAAAACCTGTCCCTTCATTAAAGACGGTATATCATCATGTACATTCAAAAACACTGGCCAAACTCACCTTATCAAGCAGACGGTAACATGTGCTTCTAAAAATCTCATTTATATGATCCAATGTCGTAAATGTAAAACAAACACACCAATGGAATACATCGGACAGACTAAACGAGCCTTAAGAGACAGGTTTGGAGAACACCGCAGAGCGATACAAAACAAAACTGACCACCCAGTACCACAGCATTTTAATCAACCCGGACACCAACTTTAAGACATCGAACTGATCCCACTCGAACTTATCAAAACCAAAAGAGAATCCATACGTGGAGCGCGCGAACGTTTTTACATTGAAAAGACACAAACTCTACAGCCACAGGGAATAAACAGAGAGGACGACTACTCGTCAAGATGGCGTCGAAAACCGTGACAAGGTCTATTCAAGGCTTTGATCACACTTAGCTCTTGCCCCAGCACAAAAACCATACCGGAAAGGTATGATTTCGGCGCGAATTTTGTAACAGAACGACGCTGCGACGCGCCGAGTTCGAAAGTGGAGCGTCACATACTGGATAGGTTTTGAGCCACACTTTGGTGCAGTTTGAACAGGCATTTGCACCGTAGCGGGAACGAGTAAGTCAGTAGCGGCGGCGGATCCAGACCTTCAGATAAGGGGGGAGGGGGGCGTTCATCCAAACCCTGAGATAAGGTGGGGGGGGGGGGCTATCTCAAAAAAAATTTTTTTCGGCCCTTTGGGGCCTCAGTTTGGTCTAAAAATAAGGGGGGAGGGTGGGCCCCCGGGCACCTCCCCCGGTTCCGCCACTGAGTAGTGGCAAGGAATGGAACCCACTGAGACGGAAGTAAATATTCAGTAGTAAGGACTGGTATTTAGTTCACCAAAACCCTCTCTGGCCACCTGCTCCGACACGGTGTTAGGTGTGGATGTGTTTGTGTGTATATGTGTGTGTGAAAGACTTGTTCCAGTCCCAGGCGAAGATTGCTTGTCATTGCTGTTCCGGATAGCATTTCGTGTCCAAGGGCGGATTTAGTGGTGGGCCCACGCGGCCTCGGCCCCCCTTTTGTGTTTTATTCAATATTTCAGCATTACATGTTCAATATGGAATCCAGGCATTCGCTAATTCTAAGCGTCCAGAATGCACTAGATTGCATGTCAGAGAACTTCAATCCCAAAAATTTTCCTGGAGGAACATGCCCCCGGAACTCCCTGGGAAAGTGCGCCGATCGCAGTCCTGATCGGCGCTATCGCGCCCATATTGCCACTGTCAGTACTATATCTCTAGGCTCCCTCTATCACGAAATCGCTCCGTCCGCCCCTTGTGTCGATACGAAATGCTATCCTGTATAGCGTGTACAAAGCCTTAAGTTCTCTACTCTCTCTTAAACCAACCTGACCGTGGATTTAAGGTACTGATAACCAGATGAACCCATGGTGCCCACTTTACTTCCGATCATCCTCTGAGCCATCATGGAATGATCGTCTGTCAAATAATAATAACGACCATCGTATCTAATTAGTAAGCAATTTGAACAGCAGATTAAGGGAAAAGTATTTACTACACCCAATTTTTTAGATCTTCACAATGCTGGAAAAGGCATGTACAACTTGTTCAGCGCATTTTTTCAAATTTATCCCATGAAATCCCTTACCAGAGGTAGTGTACCGCGGAACCTAGTGAAGCTTAAGGAAAGGGCTATCCACCAACATTTGCAATAAGGGACAAACAAAAACAAAAAGCAAAGGGAAAAGGGAAGGAAAAAAAAGATTAATTGTAACTAGTTATACTTGCTGATAAAAAACTTACAGCGCCACTTGAGCAGAAGTGAGTCAATATCCATGAGCAACTGAAGGATTTGAAATGGCAAGCTGAATCCAGGCTCGTCCCTGGAGGATGAACAGATACAAAGGCCAAATGACTCTTGAAACAAAGATGGGTAAGAAGAGGGTTCCCTATAGGCTTTTTCAGTCCTTTCATCCTGGACAAAACAAGCGTTTCCGAGCGAGAATTGCAAATTGAGTCTCTCTTGTCTCCTTCCATCTTTCTCGACGAACTCGCTCGGAAACGCTTGTTAAGCAGGCTTAAAATTTTCTCTCAATCCCGTAATCCCAACCGTTATTATCTGCTAATCCTGATCCCCAACTTGAGTAGTAAAGGGCGTAACTTCCGCCAGTAACCAACCAGGATCGAGTATACGGGTCACATGACACGAGTGGACCAATCAGCGTTCGAGTTGAAAATGATGACGTCACAATCTTTGTCCCATGTATCCCATAATGCATCGCTCAGCCGTCAATTAAACTATCGTCATTTTCAACTCGAACGCTGATTGGTCCATTCGTATCACGTGACACACATGATCCCGCGTGGGTTATCACGCCGGGAAAGAAAAAGCGTTCTAGATCTTTTACTTCGATTTTACCCTGGGCCCCAGCGAAGGGGAACTGTCAAAGATGAAGAAACTCCACTGAGCGTATCTTACCGGTAAAAGAAGATCATCAGTGCTCCTTGTATGGCTTTGTGAGAGAACCTTCTTTCACCTAATAATGAACAAACAACCCATGTTAAAACTACTTATGGTTGACGTGTACCTCATTGTATTCAGTAAACCTTTTAACATCCGGGGGGGGGGAGTGACTCCTATATAAATGTTCACTTACGCTTGAAGTGTATCTCACTGTAGTCAGTAAACCTTTAAACATCCCCGCGTGAGGGTGGTGGTGGTGGTGGTGGTGGTGGTGGAGGGGAGTTGGGGGGGCTGGGAGTGACGGGGATGCTCAAAAAAAGAAATAGAATTGAACTCCTAAGGGGGACCAATCTGGGTGTGGCTCAACCTCGTCCCCAGGACAGTCCCGTGTTTTATGAAAAAAAAAAACCCTACGGACAAGATTGGACGTGTCTCAGACCCATAAAGGAGATCATACTCCAACATAGACGGCATTTGCTTTTTTTGTTTGGAAATTTGCCAACGCAAAACGCTAAGTAATACCTTTACGGACAAAAATATTGGCATTATGTCTTGAAAACCCTAAGTGAGACCAAAATCTGCAATCTACATTCCTTAGCAAAATGACAGGAATTCCGTTCCTTTTTATGATAATTGGAGTTTCCCCCGGGGGTTGAACATTTCGTTTCAGTTCTATTGCGTTGTTCTCTTTGGTATGAGACTACAGCTTTGGTCCGAGTTCTTACTAGTTATTGGGCACCCACATTTTCTGCGTCTATCGAGATCAAGCGTGCTTAGACCTATCTCACCACCCCTACTCTATCCACGATTTATAACATATTGAGGCAAGTAGCTAAATAGACAGTTGATAAGGACTTCTTAAGACCTGCGTTCTGCGGCATATTCGTTTGCGGTCTTTTGCAGTTAATGTTCATTTAGTACTTTATATATTGGGGCAACACTTTTCTTGAGTTGTCTGTTGAAAAAGCATCAGTTCGGATTGCTATGGCAACTTGTCAATATCGTCCTTTTCCTTGAGGGCCATTAAATCCCCCATAACAAAGGAGATTTGAGAAATGGAATGCTTGCACCCCCAAGACACTAATAATCACTTGACTCAGTTAGAATCGAATTGCATAGAACACGATTTTTTGGGTTTACTCCAAAGGGGAAAAAAGTGCCTCACTTATGGAAACGTACTGTGCTATGGACGAAAAATCAGCAACAAGCTCTTACGCTGCTTATGAATGAATCAAAACAAGAAGTATCACGTTCACAAAACATACCTCTAGCAATACGCTGGTTGTGTTTCTCTTCACAAAGGATTGTCTCAAAGTGATTCTGTCAATGAAAGAAAACTGTGTTTTAGTATGACGCATTGAGGCGAAAAAGAACCAGTACGGGTGCCTAAGCTCCCTTTGTCCCTTAAAAGAAAAGCTCCAAAACTGCATTCGAATTTAGTACGTGATTGGACATACGTTTGGAAAGCATTTGAAATCCCTCCCTGTTTAGTAGGCTGTTGTGTTTCTCTTTCATTTACCTTTTGTTTGTTGACTTCTTCCAAGGTCTACGAAAAAAGATGTGATCATCATGTAAAATTACATATTAAAATGTAACAAAAAGCCCTCTCTATTTTAAATAAATCCTCGTATAAATGGGCACAAACTAGGAATAAGATAACCCTGACCTCAAATATTTTTCAGGTGACAGAAAGCAACTTTTTAAAAAGACTTGATGGCCTAAGAGGAATAAGGGGCGGAAGGCTTGCATGGCTGCGAAATCAGTCTAACACTAGTACATCCAACTCGAAAAACAAAGTACATAACAAGTGTTATATAATGAGTTCATATCGATCTGGGAAGCACCATCCTTGTACCGATTGTGACAGTAATTTTATCAAACGGTCCAGAAATATACGCACAAAAGTAGGACGTTATTGGAATGGCCAATTTGACTGATAAGTTAGACTTTCTACCGCATGCTTTAAATTTCTTTTTAATTTTTCTTTTGTTTTTCAAATTTTGAAGACCTTTATTAATTGAGTTAAAAGTCTTGAAAGTAAAAAATCGCAAGTCGACTCGGACAAGAGAAATAACAGAGAAATAACGAGAGGTCGAAGTTAACCATATCAGATTTTTTCCTTACATTTTTTTTCCATAATGAGCACGCCCAAAACCAAAAACAAATTAAAAGGAAAGTTTGGGATCATTTTGTTTTTTCTGATCTAGATGGTTGTTGGAAAGGTTTTTTAAAAAATCATTAGAGTAATGCTAAAGCACCCCAGCTTATCGACATCATCTGTTATTCTTTCAGGGATCCCCCTCGTTCCCTTTCATCTGGAGCCCAAATATGATTTCAAGGAGTCCGCTTGTGCACAACGCTGATCCAGGGGGTGGGATGGGTGGGGTGACGGGGGGGGGGTGGAGAGAAACAATCAGAAGAGGGGAAAAGCGTTAACCTTCCCAACACGTTTGACTCCTTCAGTAGCTACGGCAGTTTAATTTTCAGGAACGTCTATGAGTGGAAGGGCTCGCAAAGATACACTGGGTCATTTCAAACGATGTGAAGGGGGATGGAAAACAATTACATGATTGTTGAGTTAAAAAATGAGATAACGAAATGTAAATATCCTTCTTCGTGTCATTTCAAGAGACAGTGAGAAGAACACTCCTCCTACCTTAGCCTCAGCCTCCATGGCATCTAACATGTCTTGGATGCTTTCTTTGTATTTCTTCCAAAAGATCTCAAGACCAGGAGTCCGTTCCAACCATTCCTGTCGAAAGACGGAAGAAAATTTTACAGAACAAATTCATTCCGGAGAAGAAGTTATTTTTTCGAGTCACAATTAGTATAAAGATAGCATTGTCTTTTGCTACCTGTTTGTGTTTTTCACACACAGTTGAAGTGTTCAGCTTTCCGAATACAGGGGCTGAAAAAGGGGGTATTATTATCATATCCCACAATTATCATTATTATTATTATTATTATTTCAGAACGGAAACATGCTAGACATGGCCTAGTGTTTCTATGCTTAAGCGTATGTCTTTTTTTGAGCTTTGCCTTCGCCATATCTTATCTGGCTTTGGTGAGCATCCTCGGACTCGTGCGGTTTCCCACAGAGTGTGGCCGTTGGCTTAATTTGTCCCATCCCTTAATAAAAATGTATTGTTTATTTACAATTTGAATACGTTATATCGGTGTACTCTCGTAATCAAACTTTGTTAACGTGGCCTTAAAAAATTAGCGTGGTAGCTCTACTAACGAGTGACGTCACGATAAGAGGGCCAGGCTGCACAGCATGGCCCAAGATATCGGTTCACCATAAAGAGTTTTAGCAATCTTTCGGGATGCCATTTTTTTGTTGTCCTCAGATTAAAAAGCCCTTCAAACATATCCAAGGGAAATGCAATATAAAAAAGAAGAAAAAGGAAGGACGTAGTTCCACATGGCGAATAAACCACAGTTTCAAATGCATTCATAATCTCTATATAGAAAAACAAAATCCTTAAGACAAGTTTGCCTTGTCAGGCTGAATGGAAAATTTGATTGACGTTTTAAACAAACCTGGACGCGCTGCAGCAACGATGTTTCTTCTTCTGACTGTTTAAGAATTTTTCTATCACCGGAGTCAAATTGACTTCTAGAAATTTACACATGTTAAATTGCAGCAAAGAACTAACGTATCTACAATAGAGAGGAGAAGTGTGACGTCGCATCACCATGGTAGCAAAATTTTTGGATCACAACAACAGGGAGTTTCTGCACCTCTACGGCGAACAGGAAACAAACAATAGGTTTAGATTGGCAAAAAAAAAAACAACTTTTCACGTGCATCACGCTTTTTTGTACATTTCTTTGCCGTTGTTGCACGACTGCGACATGAAACTTCCTAATTTCAAGCGCCCGCTCTATGGAGTAGGTGAGCACAACACAAAAATTTCCTTTTTCTTTTTCTAAGGTCCTTTTGGATTTAACCCAGAAAATTTCGCCAACATTTGACAAATTAAATGAAACTAAATAAGATCGATGAAGTTTGAAACAGTGCGAATCCACTTTTTAAGTGACGTTGTGGTTTGTTGTCATCCAGAAATTTTGCTACCATGGCAACTTGACGTAACGACATCTCCTCTCTATAGACTGTAATTATATTGAGCAGCCGCCTGCAAATACAATCCATCCTCCCTGACATCTCCTTATGACAAACACATAGAAAAGGCCAGTGCCATTCTTAAGTCATATCGTTTGACTCTCATTTAGAGGCCGACACCTCCCACATGTAGACACTAAATAGCGGCCATCCGCCTTGATAAAGCTGACTGAAAGTGAGAACTTATTACGTATTGCAGACCTATATCTTTTCCATTGACCACTCCAGAAAATACCATAACATACCATAATGCTCTTTGCTTGTGACCCCCAAATTTAAGATAAGCATTGTTTTCAGTTTCTCTTAGAGCTTCCCTTGGGAGCTAAAATGGCCCCAAGTGAAACTGAAAAAAATGCTTATGCAAAAAGGGGAAGATGTAGGTCTGCAATACGTACTTGCGCTTCCTTTATCGAGCATTGTGTCATAAAAAAAAAGACTGACACCGTAAAATTCCGAAAATAAGCCCCGGGGCTAATATTTTTCAAAGGCCCTTTTCGAGGGGCTTATATTCGGTGTGGGGAGGGGGGGGGATCGGAGGGGGGCTTATCTACTGGGGGAAATTTGCGTTTCAAAATTGATTGGGCTAGCCTTATACCTGAAAGGAAATTTACCGTTTTTGCTTTTTTTACTTTGCATTTGAGGGCAATTTCCAAGTATAAGCCCCCCCCCGGGGAGGGGGGGGGGGCTTACATTTGGAGGGGCGATTTAACGGAAGGTTTTTTGCGTTACGAGTTTGGGGGGCTTATATTTGGAGAGGCTTATACATGGAGGGGCTTATTTTCGGAATTTTACTGTATCTATGCCATGCCATAGTTGTCAGTATTGCTGTCCTTCTCTGTTCTGCTTCAAGACTACTGTCTTTTATCTTGCGTTCATCATATCATTATATTTTATTGATCAGCACCTTCTCATCATATTATTTGACAAAATTATCCGTTTGTAAACTTGCGAGACGAGCAGTGAATCTTTCAATAAACTAAACAAGTGATTCTAATGTAAATATGAATATTGATCGTGGAAAATTACAGTTTATTTATTCAGGTAAAGATAATTTTTTCAATCAGACCTGTATTCCTGTGATTTGCATTTACTTCTTTGATCCTGCAATGGAAACAGGACGAACACAGTCATTATCGCAGTGAATCGCCAGAAATGGTTGTTTTTATTAATTCTAAAGAAGTAGAATTAGTCTGAGACTGACGAACGTTGGCGAAAGTTTCTACCTCAGCTGTTTAAGTGTGTATATTTCGTCAAGTTCAAGTGAGAAATGAGTTAAGTCTTAAGCCCTGTCAGTCTGAAGAAGAAATTACTTGTCAAGACGAACTATTAGTTCTCTTCTTAACTGCTATAGTACAACTAAAATGACAAACAGAAAGCTTCGTGTGTCTGGTCTTACGCCGAACACATAACGTTGTAATGAATCCAACATGTTAGCCCATCATCTTCTAAGATTGTCGCATGGTGTTTTAAACGATATCCGGTAACTGCCAAACATCATCACGTCCAACATGCTGCATCCAACAATGTTTGTTAAAGCCTGAGCAACAGATGAACACGTTGCGACATGTTTTTCTGTTTCTCCAACTTATCAACATGTTGGATCCATGGGTTGCAGACGACAATTCTTTTTGACATTTGTGCTGGCTGCTTTTTCTATGGTTCTCAAAGTGAAACTTTGATTTTTGTTATTGCTTGAAAATTAGCGAGCCTTAGATTTGAGGAAGAGAACAAGTACGAGTGCGAGATTTTACTTAATTTAACTTTTTTTCACCAAAAAAATTAGTACGGTTATTTATACTGAAGGAGGTTAAGCCCACTTCCGATCGTAAAATGATAACTTCTTACATTTGATGAATTGTTCCCGCAACTACGACATTCTCGCTAAATCCCGGTGTAGAATGACAATGGTTATAATGTTTTCCCGCCAAAATAACGCTGGCTCACGCGAATCAATCAATCAATCAATCATCTTTATTTAAACACGGAATCCCATTCATAAAAATGCTCTTTCAGAGAGCCTTGCAAAAATTCATGCAATAAAACAACATTAGATAAATATAGTTATTAAAATGGTACTAAATTACAAATGTGAGATAAATGACTTCAAGCTTGTCTGTATTTTAACAGTGTGTTTGATGGAAGTATTCCAGAAAACTGCCGCTCTATAGTGGAAGCTGTTTTCCAGCCTCAGTATACGGTCTTGGTTCAAAAAATACTTAACAATTATTCGTTGAGCCCGAATGGGCTATTGACTCGGAGGCCATGAGGGCGAGAGAAATAATTGTCTTAGTAAAATCCAACTAGTTGGTAAAAAATATCGAGAATAAAAACTTTCAGCTAGTTAAAGCTAGACTTAAATCCTTTTTTGCCGCAAAAAAGCCCGTGCTTTTCGCTACTAGTGGGCTATAACATATAGCCTAGTAGTAGCTCAATCAATCAAATTAATATTATCTCGTACTCGTCGTCGTCCTAGTCCTGCGAATCTAAAGCTCTCTATTGAGCTTGAGCAGTGCGTCTGAAGTTGATGGGTCTCATACCTTCTTAATTCCGAGTTTATTCTCAATCAGTCTAAACTGAAGACTATGGAACCCAGAAGCCGGAACCAAGTGATCTCTGCAATTGAAAAAAATTTCCTTGGAGCGATTTTCGTATGACCTTGAAATGAAAACTCCTGAACATAACAGAAACAACAAACGAACGGAAATAGAGCGATTTGACTGGTTTATCGAACGGATGTAAACGCGCGTGGCCTTTGGTTGGTTAAGCGAACGCTCTGGTGAACTTTCTAGGAATCAACCGATCCTTTGCTTTCATGATCACGTCATACGATTGGCCAATCTAACAATGTCTTCTCCATATTAGGGTCTTCTTTGGCGGGAAAACGAAGAGTCCATTTTGTGATCTTTTCATCCATTGGCTGATAAAACAAATAATGAACACTTACCGAAACCATTTTCCAAAGTCATACGAAAATCGCTTTAACAAAGGCCCCGTTTATATGAAGAAAAGTTTTTCCGGGTAGACGGGCCACCCTAGCTACCCCGGGCGAGCCAACTTTTCATACTTTTACTTACAAAACGTGGCGAACCCTTTGCAAGAAAAACAAAAAGTTGACCGGGGGGCACCATTTTGTGATTGTAGGGTCAACCTCCTAGCCGTCCAACTCTTCTCCATCACCAATTTGACTCGCACTGCCGGTCAAGGTGAGACAATAGGGACTTTAAGATCGGGCGCGTTGAAAACAAAGACCCCAAAGACCCCCTAAGGCCCCTAAGACCCCTAAAACCCTCTACCATAAATGACTCTGAACTTTATTGATTACTGTTAGAAAACTGAGAGAATCAGGTTGACGTAAATGGGACTTCCTAACCCTAATCAATAAAATTCAGAGTCATTTATGGTAGGGGGTCTTTGTTTTCAAGACATCTATTTAATATCCAACGACGCGACAGCAATAAGAAAGTCGCTTAAAAAGTGAATTTGCCTTCTTTCGGTCTTCATCGCGATTATTCGTACTTACTTACTTCGTCAAATGTAGGTCAACCCTCCTGAAGATGAATTCCAAGGGACCATTCAAGTTCAGAAAGCCGAAATAAAATTTCGTCGTTGCTTGTGTACGTTCTCCACAAAACTCGAAATCAAGCATTTTCTCGTCGTAGTCGTGCAAAAAGGGCAAATAAATGTACAAAAAAGTGTGATGCACGTGCAAAGTTGTTGTTTTGCTTATTAAACCTATTGATTTTTTAGACGTTCTCGTTGCCGTCGCGTCGTTGAATCTTTATGTCCCTAAAAATCAGAGCATTCGCGAGCGCTGTTGGCTCATGCAAAGGAGTCAACTTTTTTCCCATATAAACTCTCGCTAAAGTCGACTCTGCTGGGAGGGGGCGGGGGGTGACCTTTCTACTCTGGACAGGTTTTCTCCATATAACGGGGCATTAGAGACCCATTGCTGAATCTCAGATACGCGACAATTCATAAGTAACTGACCTGAATTTCATAAAATCCATTGGGGTCATCGTTTCCATAATCACGACCTGGTCACGTAGCAGCTGTAATTAAAGTTGAGAAAATACCCAAGACAACAATTATAAGCAAATCTGGCTCAAAACATAACTTATAATAATTCTTAATGCAACTTATGAACTTCTGCCACTGGACATACTGATATCCTGGGCAGTCAGTAAGGATTGTAACCAGTCACATCTGTATCAGCTGTGTTCACCTAAATTAAAGGGTAATAATAGATAGGGTTAATAGAAGCCAAAGAAGAGACCACACACTTTTTGAGAAGTTACTGGCTTACGTTTTTGATTTTTGTACTAACACTGCTTCAAAAACTTAATGACAGTCTGGATGGACTCTTGTGAAGGCATTTCGTAAGTGAAACCTGATAGTATAGAGCTATTTCGAGAAAGGTTGTCGAAAAAAGGGCACGCGACAATTCCGAAAGGTATTGTGGGTGGTTTTGAGTTCATTGTTCTTCAAAGAAATTTGAAAGAATGGCACGAGAGGCCATAGACGTATGTTTGTCAGTGCTAAAGGAAAGCAACAATAGAAGGTTCGACAGCTACAGTGTCAGAAACAGCGTGTTGATCATATCCCATATTACCTTTCGGGATTGTAGCGTCCACATTTTTTCCGACAACCTTTATCGAAATAGCTGTATGTGGGTCAATATTGCAACTGTGAGTTACACCCGTCCAAGCCGACGCTGTGTTCAAAGTCTGTATGAAGAAGGATCAACAGTGGACCAAGCGCCGCAGGGACACGTCGGTGCGCTCAAAAGAACGTTGTTAAACTATCAAAACGAATGAATCGATGGATAGTTTGAAAAATAAAGGTCGCCAAACCACAGGGATAACAACTGAGAATGAAATGTCACAGGCAGGTAAAGGCAGAATAATCAGCCGCAGACCTTAGGAAGGAATTCATGAAAATACTGCGGAGTTCATCAGGAGCTTAAAAAATTGTCCGGCGTATGAAAGAACTGGTTTCAAATGTCACATTGCAGCTTTAAAACTCTTTCAGTTTCTCATCAAGGGCCAAGTTAGCCTGCTCCACAGCCGTTCTTTGTGCCGCTCCTCCCCACAGGAGCGTTTGCGTGACGACATAAAAACTGCTGCGAAGCAGAATAGGGCATGCTGATAACACTTTTTATACAGTGATTATTATGACCGTAATATATTCCAGCTGACACCCAAAGTGCAAAAAGTAGTACAATAGGTGTCGAACAAAACTTTTTTGCAGTAAATTTTAATAAATTTGGAGTGGAATGAATTCATATTGATCACGTCATGACTTTTTATCTCATGAATAAAATGGGGTTGAATCTTCTCAAGGAGGGCAGGGATAAATTGGCCAGTTCCAAATAATTAAAATTCAGACTTAGCATTGGCAAGGCACATCAGCAGTGCTAAAGAACCAGTAAAGACTGATATACGTATATACTCTAAGGTTGACATGCGAGCATACGAACTTCTCTCTGAGAATGACAGGGTGTGTGTTCACCACCGACACCCGCAATAAGACATTAAATTTTCATAAAAAGTATCCCATAGTAATAAAATATCTCACGTTTTGGATCTTCAAAATGCGGTTAAGTCTTGAACTTAAAACAAGCATCTTCCTTCCTTCCATATCCTAATTAAATGAGACAAAATTTGTTGAGTCATAATTAAAAAGGAAATAGAATTGCCCGTAGCTTGCGTTTACCACTACATAACCAGTATAGAATATGGAACTTCTCGTCTGTCTTAAGTTTTTGCTTCAGTAAACATTTTGCGTCTTGTTGCAGTCCTAGAAATCATACAAACGGATCATACTTTGCAAGAACAACAACCATATCAATGTATCATTACGAACTAGAAAATCTTGCACAGTGTCATACGTATACATAAAATAAGCAATTATTGACTGTGGCTGAGTAGGATGTGGAAAACTATGCAGATCTCGGAGGATGCTATCCACCAAGGCAGAAAGCCTAACATCCTCCGAGATCTGCATAATTCTTCACATCATACGAAAGCCGAATTAAATAATTGTTTTATTAGTCATTCAAAATTTTTCTAAGTTCTTAACAAGCTTATCTCCTCGTAGACTTTCCTCTATAAACTTTGGCTTATTTCTCGGTACGGTTTCAGGATATAAACAGATGTTTTTTTTCTTCTTGCAGATACTTCTTGAAAGGTAGACGAGCAATAGCTGTGGTCACACTACAGACTTTTTACCCAGTAGGTAAACACGACTTGATGATAGTTTACCTAGGGAAACTTGATTTTTTAAGTGTGACCGATTTTTCCCTGGGTAACTTACCTCGGGGAACTTTTATTGTCTGGGTCTTGGATATGTCTCGAAAACAATAGAGTTTACCTTGACAGCTACCCCAAAGCAATAGCTAGGGAAAAATGAAATACCGAGCTTGCTAGCCAATAGACGCTCATCGGCGAAGGTCTTGATGACAGAACCGGAAATAGATCACCCTGTGAAAGAAATTTTGGGGGCACGAGTCGTCTACGTCTTCGCCTTTCTTCACCTTGCACGTTGAATTAACGTAAGAAATAACAGCGAGATAAAAGAAAATTACGTCTCTTTGATCAGCTAGATCCCTGTGCATTTTGCCTTCTTGAATTTATACGCTCCAAAAAATTCAACTGGCGTGAAAACTTTGGAAGCCGATATCAATAGTGTGACCTTCCCAGAATTTTTACCTAGGTAAAACAAAACCCGAGATGAATTTACCTCGGGAGATTTTTGATGAATTTGCCCTACGTAAAAGTCCGTAGTGTGACCACAGCTAATATGTTTTGCGTATACTTGCATTTCTTCCGTCCGGTTTTAGTCAGAAATTCAGCTATTTCTTCTTCAGATAGCTGTGAATGCCATATATTTTAGTTCACTCTTGAATAACCTGCTAGGAGGCTGTTCCTGGAAACGAGGTTGATCAATCGTCTATTACCCACGCAGCCTCGTTTCCAATCAAATATACCATCAAATCGATGGTATATTGCTCGCATCTTCCAAATATGGTTAGCGCCCGTTAATTATGAAGAATTAGCCCGAGTAGAGGATTGAAGCCAATCAGAAACGAGAAATATTTTGAATGAATGATAAATACATTTAACAATTATTCGTGGAAATCGAGATGAATAGTAGATGAATATTTTTGGCAAAAATTTTCATGTTAGGAAACGCTGAGTTTACAAAACGACTTCTTCTAATCGAACAAACAGTTGTTGTAAACATTCCATCAAGGAAAAAAAATTAACTTAAGTGAATGGAATACGCCGTTTCGAATCCTTCAAAGTCGTCTCCTGTGTAAAAAATATCAACCCTAGGATTTTGTAGAATTTCGAACGATCGTTCTCTAAAATATTGGAAATTAAAATACCGAACTCCCGTATTATCAACTCGCTCGGAGGTGAATAGTCCGAGATAGCGAACCAATCAGATCCCTTAAAACACAAAGATCACCGAGTGTGTGTATATTCTAAATGTCAATGTAAGACTCTTCCTTCACTGGTTTCATAGCAAAAACGTTGAAAAAGTAAACTGCCTTGTTTTAAGTTAATGATGAACGACTAAATTAAGAAAAAGATTTTCCAGCTTTTTCAGTTTAAGCCGTTTTTCTCTCATTTTGACCATTTGTTCAAAGCTTTGGCTTCTTTAACTATCAACTAACCAGTGTCTCAAAGATTTCCATGACAGAGTCCAACTCATGAATGATCTCCTTAAACCACAGTTCGTAAACTGGAAAGGAAAAATAAATAAACAGGGAAAATATCTTTCATCAAGATAAACATTTAGAACATTGAATATACCAAATTAGGACTGAAATAAGATTGAGAATCCCGAACTCAGAAGTTCTGCCCATAGGTTTTCTGATCCATGCATATCGCACCTGGGCCATAAAACCCGATATGAAGAAAACTCCTTCTGCAACTTACGGTGTGGACCTCCAATTCGTTAATAAAAAGTATAAACAAAATTTGTCAAAATACCCTGATGTACAATAATGAACAACAATTCATCATGAGCAGTGGATTCACGTGGCTTCTGACAGTCAAGAAGCTTGCCAAGCTGCAAGAGATAAGAATTGTTGGAAGTTATTTCTTTATAATCTGACTAGAATGTCCAAGAGTTGATTTTTCAGTCCATCCTTCCTTCCATCTGCCCCAGTTACATTTGGGCCTCTTCTTACGGCCACCTCTCCACAGTCATATCCAACATTTGCGATTTGAATAATTATTTTATTAAAAACGCTCCCCCCCCACCGAAAAAAAAAAAAAAATCGATGAACCACTTCCTGACTTTCTTTTGTTAAAACAAACCGGAAACATACAAGACACTTCCGCTTTCCACTTGTCACAGACTGCTTCCAACAAAACTGTAACGCACCGCGTACAGATAGGAGTGATGACGATGATGATGATGATGGCCAGTATCAACTTACAATATCAATCAACATATTAGCGAAGCTCTCGCACGAAGCGTAAGCAGCGGAGCACCATTTCGTTAACTATTTAGTTGTGCTCCAAAATTTTGTTATCTATGCACGTAACGTCCGTCCGCCCCTTCAAGATAGCGGATGTGAAATGTCTTACTGCAAGTCTTTAGTCCAAGGTATAGGCACTGTATGCAAATTGTGTTTAACTTGATATTGGACATCCATTTTATGATCAGTTGACAGCTGTCAAAGTAGGGTACCCGCTGACCAGTGTCACATGACGGTATCGCGGGCTCAGATGTACAACTAATTGAGGTGACGTGTGTTTTTGAAAATTTCTCCACTGACCAGTTTTGGTATTCGAGTGATCGCAGGCACAGAAAACTTCGTTTCAAAAGACATTTCGTAAAAGTTCCCAGTGAGCTTTGCTTTTAGCCTTGGCTAAAACTATATATTACAAAATTTACGATACACACAATTTACATTCCATTCATTATTTTTGTCAAATTATGCTCTGTAAAAGTCGTATTAACAATATTAGAGGGAGAGAAAATTAAATGGAGAGAAAAGAGATTAAAAGGGGCATATCGTTCGCTTCAATAACTTTACAGATAAAGATACATTCAGTGGAGAACACCCCAACTCTTATTTTCTGGCCAAAGCAGGGGCCAACAAGGCCGATGCTTTGCTTTGGCTATAGAATAAGCAAGGCGGAAACAGCAATGCTACTCTCATTTCACCTTACTTTTTAAAAGATATTGTAATTAAATTGATTAATTGTTACTTAATTTGATATTTCAATTAATATTTGTACAGAGCATAATTTTGACAATGTAAAGTGAGACATTTATGCCCTGGAAAATTTTAATTGAACATTATAAGTTGATACTAATCCGCCTTGATCAGCGTTGATCAATATGCTTAGATCTAGTATTAAAAGCTATTTGCATTAAGGCGAGACGCAAGACGGAAAAAAGAACGAAAAAAAAATTAAACATTGTGGTTTCCCTTCGTACAGACTTCCAAACTCTAGACGGGGATCATCAAACCTGGAGATATCCTGCGTAAGACACTTCTTTATCCGCGTCACCATGTCCTCCTTCCTGGGTACTTGCTTCGCCATCACTGTGAAAGAAATCAACATACTTCAACAACAGATCAGTGTAGAACAAAGGCTGTAAGCCAGAGGTATAATGCCGGCTATCGACTATTGTTAAAATTCACACAAGTATCAACAGAACACGAAAAACAATAGTCTTTTAAAGTAAGCTCAGGTACTTCTGTCTCAATCAACATTAATAACCACTGGCCGCAGGCTGTAGTGTAACTTTTAACAGCGTTATTCATGTTCGTTAAAATTGTAGAAGCAGCTAGGTACCACATGAAGGTTTTCTTACAGATCGTGAGCATAATAAGAACAGTTCATAATGCTGAATGGTTAAAAGTCCTTCCGAGTCAATTGCAGTCAGGAAGACGCACGGCTTGAGGATAAATCAGCTCGTGGAGAATGGTTACCTCTGAGGTAATTTGGGACGGCTTACAAGTGGGCGTGTCTGATACGTTGGAACACAACTCCCCAGAAGATTATTGGCAGTTCTTTGTTCGCAGGCTCAAGTCTTCTGTGGCAATAAGGGGTTCAAGCAACGACGACGGCGACGTCAACGGGAACGGCAAAAAAGCTATAGATTTAGTTTGGGAAAACAACAACTTTGCACGTGCATCACACTATTTTGTACATTTCTTTGCCGTCACTGCATGACAACGACGTAAAAATGCCAAATTTCACGTTTTGTGGAGGACGTGAACACACGACAACGACTTTCCTTTTCTTTTCCTGAACTTTGATAAAGATTTTTAGAATTCAAATCCAGACAAAAATTGCCAACATTTGACGAATTGAACGAGATGGAATAAGCGCGATAACGTTTTTGAAGTAGCGCGACTTTACTTTTAAAGAGACGTTTTCGTAGCCGTCGCCGTCGTTTCTGCTTAAGCTCCCTAGTATCTGTTCTCAAAAACCTAGCCTGCGAACTGGCTCACAAGTGGAGCGGGGCCAACTAGAAAATCGACAAGCCGAGCGTGGTTTGGGGAAAAAAAAAGGGGGGGGTTGGTTGTAGACTTTGTTTTGATGACGCACATCTATGATACGAGAGTCTAGTGTTAGTGGCTGCATTTCCTCATTCGGCGAAAAATACCCAATTCCGGGCAAGTGTTATTGAAGCCGATGCAAGCGTAAAAAAACATCATAATTTGACAGGTGTAATTACCATAATGACATGTTATTGACATATGTGTTACGGGATAATAGCAAGTGGGCGGTGCGGTGGGCAGCAAGGCTACGAGCTCCCCCTGCTTCTTTTCTCCCTCAGGCCACGCTCAGCTTACTGCGCACGCCGATTTTCTTTTTCGCCCCCGCTCCACTTGGAAGCCTGTTCGCAGGCTATCAAAACCATTGCCAACAGTTTTAGGTACTACAGGGAGATGGATATGTATAATACGAGTTTGATGGTAAGATGAGCCAAGAGATCTGATCGCAGTTGTTAGCCTTATTTCGGTTCTAATTTTAAACCATCATTAGGCCACGAAGGAGCGGGCTCTCATTTGAATAAGAATAGATAGGGCTAGCTTTAAATTCTGAATTAATTACTGATATTTTTTAACGTGTCCAACCTCGTCCATCGAAGTGAAAGCCGCTGGGGTTCATAATGGATATTAAAATTACCCTGTTAGCAAGCTCACCGTTTGGGGGAGTTGCGAAAAGTTACGCGACAGCAACAGGCGAAAGGAGACGCGCGCAGAGCAGGGAAAGAAAGGGAGGGCTCTCCTTTTTCCCCGCCCGTCGCTGCTTCGCGGCTCACTCCTGCATTCTCTCTTGGTTAGCTCCGCTCGCCATAAATAAAGAGCTTGCTTGCGGGCTATATCAAACCTTGGCGTAGGTGCGGAATGCATGTTTGCGCGAATACATGACCTACATGTTTATTCCTCCGTCTACCTACTTATGTGATGTATCAGTATAATTGCATGATCTTCCCAGTTCTGTCGTTGCCTAATTTTTTCGGGTAGCTTAATTCAGTCAAGAGCCTGAATGCTTTTTGTGAGAAGTCCTTCAGGAGTTTGTTCCACATCGCCATTGAGTCTAGGAATACCCGCCTCATGAAGAACAAAATACGGTGTTTCCTCGAATAATAGCCTGGGGCGATTATTAATTTTTTCACACCAAAAGGGGACGATTATTCGAGGGAGGAGATTATTTAAAATATTGCTCATTGGATGACGTGCACTAAATATTTAACAATTATTGGACGAGTTTGAAACAGTAACAAAACAATCATATAGTATTAATTTGATCTTGGCTCAATTAAAACAAAAGATAAATGTAGCATGATCGTAAAACCACCTTTCGCTTTAATTACTTTTTTTATTATCATCTTTTTCTGACCTTTGTTGCCCTCACATCTTAAGCGACAGCAAATACTGTAAGGAAGCCGTGTCGGTGGAGAAGAATGAGATTTTAGCGTTTTAAATTTGTCCAGCATGTCACGACCGACGTAAATCCTTCCACGGGCCTTGAGCTGATGAACTCCGAGATTCAGATCTCTTCTCTGCGCTTCTCATGATCACAAAGCTCCAAAAGCCACTGGCATAGCGTTTTCCGCCTCGGGCCGACATCCTTCGCTTGGAGCGCTAAATAGCGCTTAGATTTTTGAAATTTTTCCTAAAAATTACTGTAACAAGCAAACCTTACGTCTAAGTAATTTGATATAGATACAAAGCGAAACGAACACCGATTCGTGACGATGGAAACAGATTTTGACTCGCAGTCTCGCTAAAGACCTATTCGGCTAACTCAATGCTGTACCCAATTCAAATCACCCGGGGTTAAGATGCTTTGTGTATTGTATCTGCATTATAATGTGGCATTCACATTTAAATAATATGGAAATTCCTGAAACAAAACGTTTTATTCCCAAAGGTTTTGAATGGGTACAACATTGAGTTGGCAAATAGGTCTATTCTCGGGAGAAAGATTGAATGGGAACTCGGTCCAGTCCCCACACTCTCCAAGTCTAAAATGGCGGACCAGTTAATTTGATGTAATAACAATTGTATCATCTCAATGCAAGGCTAAGTTTGGGTTATTTTCTTTAAAACAGCAACAAAAGCTTTTTGTTATCCGGCTCTCCTAACTGTGGATGGATGGTTTCATTTTCTCAGCTCTAAAGGCCTCGGAAAATCGGAGGTCACCTCGACACTGTTCACTGAAGCTCGTATTTGTTTCTATTTAAATCTATGTATGTCTGGTCATGCTCCTTTGCTGATGGGTATTTACAACAACTATTCAAGCTATTAAAAGGTCAGACGAAGATTATATGTTAACGCATATTTTGTTAAGCTAACTTTATCTGGTAAAAATATAAAGAAAATGGGCCTGACAAAATATGCAGACCTTCCATGCTTGTGGAGTAATGCTTCGAAATATGACCTTGAAACTGAATATAAACCAAAGAAAAATTTAAGCGTCTTGTAAAATGACCGTTATATCTAGGTCAGAACATCATTTGTGTTTTATGATGGGTACTAGCCTTTCAAAGAAAAAAATCACCTTTGTTTTGCTACATCATGTGTTTGTTGTGCTAATCAGAGGCCCGTTTTAGATCAATTGTAAGATTAGAGTCGGTGTATTCCTAAACAACGAAACTGATTGGCTCTAAAAATTCATTTTCACCTACCCAATACAGAATAGGGGCTTCTTGTCAACAATTTGGTTTGTTTATGGCCTGAATTATGCTCAAAAGTCCATTTTGCATCGCCTTAGAGGGGCACGAAGTGTTTGTTCCAAAAATTCAACAAACCATAATAAGCCAATAACAACAACAACAACGAGAAAAACAACATTTTCTTAAACAAGGTAAAAATCACAGCGGAGCTGATGTCGTCGTGTAGTTAAAAGTTTAACACAGTTTACAAATGAATAAAAAGCTTAGAAATTAATTAAAATTTAAGAAGAGATGTAACCTATTTGTAAAAAAATATATCTATAAACTAAGCTCTTCGCATGAAGTTCTGCGTTACTGCGCTTTTTCACAAACATGCGAACTCTAAAGTTCAAAAGCCGCCTTCACAATTGCGTTTTTCGCTGCCGTCAATCATGATTACGACAAAACAAAACGGATCCAAATCCACCAGTCACAAATCACAAACCATGACCTTTTGAACCCGTTAAAGTAAAGTTTTGTTTCCTAAGAGGTCCGTTAAGATGATTGACGGCAGCGAAACACGCTATCGTCAGTTGGCTTTTCAACTTCACAATTCGCCTGTTTGTGAAAAGCGCAGTCAGGAGAGAGTTTTTAAATAATTGTTTTAGTAAAATCCAAGTAGTTGGTCAAAAGTATCGAGAATAAACAAATTTTAGCCAGTTAAAGCTAGACTTTAATCCTTTTTTGCCGCCAAAAAGCCCGCGCTTTTCGCTACTAGTGGGCTATAACATATAGCCTAGTAGTAGCTCAACCAATCAGAACACAGCATTGATAATAGACCACAAGCTGTTTTTTTATGCAATATGATAACTAGAATGCAATATGATTAAAAATTATTCTGGTACAAGGTTTTTTCCTCTGAATTTTAAAATTACTCAATTTCCTGATGGATTCTGTCTTTAAAACTGTTCATAACAATTTGCATAAAGTGTCGATAAAGTGGTCAGTTGGTCAGTTTCGAGAGAAACTGTGGTGTTTCGTCAGCTGAGTTGATTCAGTAAAGTTGCCATCATTCAAAAATGCATAAACTGATGTTTCGTTTCGAGTGATAACCATTCACAACATATACGCCAGTTTACCCCCTCCCCCTTCCCCTCCGGGCTATGACCCTAGCTGCCGATGCACGCGCATTTTTGGTGGTCATGGCACGGCACGATAAATTATTCCCTTTCGTTTTCACAGTATTTCCCTTCGTCGTTGAAGCAGAAGCTCTCTGTAATGAGCTTGCAATCTGAGTGAAATCGCAAACATTAACTGTACATCATGTGCATCAAGTATTCAAGTCGAGTATTTACTTGTAGTAAATACCATTCCTTATGAATGGTCCAAAAAATGCGTAATTTAATTACATATTTCACGGCTCTTGTACCATTTGGTTTGGATTGCCGCCCTCAAAATCCGGTATATATAGGGCACTGCCCAGGGGTGGGTAGCTCACACGGAATAATTTGAGTAGCCTGTTCCAGACGTTCAGATGAGCGGAGAATGCAGGGTGCGAGCGGAGAGCAGAGAGAAAATAACAATTAAGCGGAATAGAAAGAAGAATCATGTTATGATGAGGGGAAGGGGCGGTGGGAAGAGGAGGTGAATCAATTACAACATGGATAAGTCCCGGGGGGAGGGAACTTCCTTTTAAGAGGCTAATGGGGATGTGTCGCTGGATGATGTCGCATCACGTTTTCACGACTGGATTGACTATAATGTGGTCGCATTGTCAATAGAGTTATTTGAGTGGGGTCGCACATTTTCGGAT